AACATGTGAAATGTTTGAAAGCGCGTTTCGTAGTTTTCCCGTCGACAACCATCTCCTGCAATTTGCATAAAATTTCAATACCAATTTTCTTCAATTCGGGCTTCGTCGCTCAAATTCATTCTGTTCTCGCGCAACTTCACGAGAATTTCCAAAACGAAACGTAACTTAAATATTTGTTTTCTGTTGCGTAACAGGATGACACTCGTGACACCACACAGCGCCACGTTTGTTTCTTTAAACGGCAAATTATTGCTCAATTGGGGGAAAGTCTGAAACACAATTGTATGAATATTCTACGCACTGTTTCAAAAATGTCCTGTTAAGAAATATCTCCGAACATACGAAGCTGTCAAAATACACTCTTTCGTTTCGTTCTGCACGAGGCAAGTCGTTAAAATGAATAAGGGAAAGATTTGAATTTGAAAACTGTGTGGTGGACAGGCGTGTTACAGTGGCAGTGGACCGATCGTTAATCCACAGACGTTGTATACGAGCGCGTTCTTTCGCAAAATGCCCCAAGTGTTCGCGGAAGAGACGAGTGTCGCATGACGAGAGCCATTCCGTTGAATCGTAGCGGACAAGGTAAGCGTAAAACGATGCGTCCAATGTCAAGGAACCACTGTACGCTCGTCCAATCCATTTCCAAACTATTTTCGAAATCGAAATTCATTGAACTGTGACTTGAATCGGTCCACTGTCAGTTGATCTCACGGGGAACGAGTGTACTCAATCCTCCTCTCGGTGGAATTGCAAGACGTATAAATAGGAATACAAATTGCGTTCAACAAACGTCGCGTACCGCGACAGAACAGTGGCGATCCAGTCACGCCATTGTTCTGGTTCGTTTAAAAAGCCTCCGCGAACGAGCATTTACACGGTCTACGAGCGTACCGTGACTGCAACTACGAATCAGACCCAGCCCAAGATGAGTTAGGTTGAAGAAGGGACTAGGTTGTTCCAAGATCTACCTCATTAGCAAGAGACGAAATTACTCTTCAACGAAATTTCGCTCCATAATTCTGGCTAGGTCTTTGATACATTGTCTCTCCACGAGGATGAAGCTTTTCTTTGGAAATTGTTATTTTCATCTAGTGTGGAAAAAGCAACGATACTCACGTAATATCTGAAACGTTGA